TTGATATCATGTGTTTTATTCTGACATCCTCTACGTGTCGCGATCACTCTCGTACGATACCAGGAACAGCTCGAGTTCCACTTATACCGGACGATTCGATTACGGCACCTCAGCGTTCGCATCCCCGCGTTACGACTGAGTCTAACTTACTGGTGTCTAGATCTGCGTTGTTGCTACCTCGTACCTCCGTGATCGCATTGGTGTGTATCAGTGCATCAAAGAAGTACCACGAAATATGCTTCGATTCACCAATCCGCCCGGAATCCCACCCATCCGAGCACAGCACGTTTCCACTGGGCATCATCTCGTTTCGCTTTCAACACCGCGCAAAGATCGTGGCCCTCTTGATGTTCGTGAAGACTGGTAGAAGGTATTTTGCGAGTATGTTATTTTTCGATTCTCAAAGCAGCGGCTGACTTTCCAGCTGCAGTATATGACTGGGATTGCTCTACCTTTCCCAAGGATGCCTAAAACACCGACACAACTCACGGTAAATGACTAGTTTGTCAGTGTTTGTGTACTCTTTGTATTTAGTGCTTGCAATATACATAGTGTGCATGTCTGTCAGCAGCAACTGCCCTCATTGCATGTTTTAAAAGCGTGTCACTTAAAAAAACTCTCGTAGCATCACGATTGCTTCAATGCCTGAGATTTCTTCTAAATTTGAGGAAGATGTACCAGCACTTTAGCATTGGGAAGGGAAACAGAAGTATTTTGTCCATTCTCACGCGGCAAATGATTACTGTGTCTATCTTGAATGTGAGTTACTCGCCATTTCGCTGCTTTCACTTTGTTTATGGTAACAGGAGCGATAATCCAGGCTAAAACAAGCATCAAGGAAATCCAGAGTCTCAGAATAGAACTTGTTAGCATGCCCCCCCCCTTTCTTCCCTGTATAGTTATCGGCAGACTTAATACCGAGCACTAACGCGAGATATGCCACAGCCACAACGCCAAACATGTACAATGCCAAGCCGGGCATAATTTTGAATATTAGAGTAATTACATCCAAATCGAGAAGGTAGTATCCAAATATAGTAATCCTCCCATTTTACAAGCATAAAATTGACGCAAATGTCGGCTAAAAGAATGCCTTTTCCTGTGCAAAAAGGGGTTCCAAAACTCGGAGGAAAAGGCTTTCATCTCGCTGCCTCTTTCTCTCAGTCTCTTCCTGGGTAAAATTGCTATTTGTTTGCAGTGAGAATTCGTCGACTCCCTGGCAGGGAGCCAACTGAGTTTGAATTTAGCCTCGGCCCGAGAGAAGATCGCCCCCGGATAAGGGAACTGAGCCCCTGAATCGCAGACGTGTCGCGTCTAAGTGCCGCTGCCTCGTCTATACTATAAATCACTTCCTACGTCGCCTCCCCCGACATCGCTACCTTATGAATATATTCGATCGTTTCTATTTATTATTACTGTCTGATAATGGTCGCCAATTGCTCGGTGAGCTCTCCCCCATCTTCGTCAAGAGCCTAACACATCAGCAAGCCGAGACTGTCTTCAAAGCCACAGTCTGGTTCGATGCTCGGTATATAGGCGAACGAAAACTACGTCAGTTTCAGATCGAGGCCACTGTAGAGTGTTGTAGTTCGCGCAGGAAGGGGCTATGGCAAAACACTTGCCATGATCCTGCCGATTCTCTTTGGCGATCCTTCAAAAATTGCGATCACTATCTCACCTCTGAAACTCTTGCAAGCTAGTCATGTAAGTCTTTGTTTCGTCTCTTCGATTTTTATGCTAATGGGTAATCAGGTTTCAGGATTTCAAAGTTTCAGGATCCCCACCATTCAGATAAACCAAGATACACCAGATGACAAGAACCTCTGGAAGGTGTGTTTGCCACTTGTCTCTGCTAGATCACTTGCTAACCTACACAGGATATTCAACTTGGAGTCTATCGCAATATTATATGCGCCCCCGAGCAGTTTTTTAGACACGAAGGACACACTCCCTGCCTCGCATCCCTCATCAGAAATGTCAATTCGCTTCGCAACAAGATGGCACTCGTGAACTGTGACGAGGTTCACCAAGTTCACATCACCTTTTACCCTTGATTAATGACTTGATAAGTGTCCATGTTGTAGGCATGAGGTCCCGAACATTTTGCGCGAGCCGTGTGAGGTCAAACATCTTGACAAAAGTGGGTGTAGTTTCCCTGGTTGACTTGCAGAACAGCTTCAAAGATGCAGGTGTCAATTCTTTCCCCATAATAGAAAGTATATGTGACATCGAATCGTCCTCAAGCCTAGACTTGAGCTTTCTCTTCCAGAGAGGAACATCTCCGAGCATGTTCCAGAGAAATTCGGGTGTCCTGCCGCCTAGAAATCGAGTACGATAAGGCACGAGATAGGCTGGCTGAGACTTTGCCTGTAGAATCATAATCAAGACATCTGTAGCTGACTTGCCCACCTTCGAGAACAACTCTAGCCCAGTTTTGATGTAGGACTCCTCCAGAGAGAAACTAGAACCGCGCTGAGAGATATGGAGATCAAGAGCTGTTGTTTCCGCTTCGACCAGAGCCGCCGAAAGCTCCCTTAGTCTGATATCCTCAGAGAGCCATGCAGGGGGTGTTGTCCATTGCAGCAGCTGAAATACGGGTGGTGGAGTCGGTGGAGGCGGCTGGTAGTAGTCAGGATGAGGCATATCTTACATTCACGCAGGAAGGAGAGGGTGCTAATAGTTATATTTCATGGGCACGGTGCGTACAGAGCGCGACACAACGCGAGACTACAAGTGAACGATCGGCTGCGGGGATGCCGGCTTATCGACTCGATGCTTCTTTACTGCCAATATTCAAACTCAGCTGGCTCCCTGCCAGGGAGTCGACGAAGTCTCCCAGTCTCCCAGATGCGAAGGCCCCCAGGCCTGTTACCCTTTTGGTTACACGTCTCGGGAGACTGGTCATGAGTCTAATAAGTTCCGTGTCTCTGGCTGATCATACTATGTGCATACCTCGGAGCAAATTGAGCTCTGAACAACTCTATTGATTGCTAGGTAAGAAATATACATAACTCCAGCCGGAGCAACCGTGATGGTGTAAACCTTGTCTGAGTTACCGCTGTATTGCTTCAAGGGCATAATAAACGGTACGTACATATTTGCCATCTAACTATGTCAATAAGCGAGTATCACAGACATGATTGTGCACTCAGATAGACCAGCATATTAGACCAGCATATTGTAGATCAGGAACCGATTTGTCACGAAAAGGTTTGATAATATGTATGCCCCATATCCCATCAGATTGTTCAAGGTGATTACTATCAGTGCAATGAACGATTATTAGAATTGAAAGCACTCATTTATCATTGATACAGACTCTGAGTCATTCCAGCTCACTAAGTGCAACATCTGCGGAGGGAAAAAGACAATGCACATAATTGACCAGGTTTAACTACGTAACGTAGTTTTGTTCACACCTAAGGCTCGGAGACTTCGACACGCCAAGACATCATTGGATGGGATCAGCATTAAAATAATATACATTAAATTTGAGATAACGCGAACATTTAACAGAACTAACCTACGATGGAAAGCTGTAGCTGAAAGATACTTACGCACCTGCACGTAAACATAGTATTGCTTTCAATAAAAGATAATCGGAAATATCAGAAGTAGAGGTGAGGAACGGAAACCTACCATGGCTGCATACGGAAACGGGATGAGAGTGACACCAGCCGCAAATTAACTAAGAGGGAGTGAAACGGCACCAATCCGCGGTCAAGTGGTCAAAGAAACACTGCGAGACAACAGCTCCAACGTCTACAATCGATGTTGGTAGGGTAAGTGAAACAAACCCAATATATATATATATAAAGTGCGCACCTGTTTTGTATCCTAACACCGGACAGGAAGGAGGATAATCAAGTCGCAATGCCACTGAAAGGTATAAGCACAGTGTGCAAGAAAAAGACAAACCTGCATCATAGTATAGCTTGCGAAGCACTTGCCTAGACCAGCGCCGGGTTCCCAGATATGCAGCAGCACACATCGACATGAATAGGACATCCTAGCATGCAGGTGGCATCGGGCGTGGGTGTGAACTCGCCGAACCCAGGTTGCCGGTTGACGCTTGCGGACGGACAGGTAAGAGCAAGCACTTGGTCATGGTCAGGCTGGCCAAGGTGGCAGGGGTGAGACAGGGCGCGCCAGGCGGCGGGACAAGAGCTGACTGTGGTAGAGCATGAGTCCACGGGTGGCGACTTGGGTCTGTGATGGTCATTTTTATTGGTGGGGAACAGTGTTCATGCGAGAGGGCCCATATTAAAAAATCTCTGAACACTCGCCATAGCACGGGTATCATCCGTAGTTGAATGTCAGCCGTCCGGGAGAGGAACACCTGCTGAGCGTAGGGCAAGGATTGAGGTGCCGTCCCCAACTTGATGTCCATGCTGCCATCTTCAATGATCATAATCTTGAATTGTAGCTCACCAACGAGCTGGATAAATCTTGGGATAAATCGGAGGATCTTCTCGAAATCAATTGTGTCGAGGATAGGATTACAGCATAGTATTTCTCCTATGAATGTAATGGTGTATAAAGCAGTTGATAAGATAAGACTGGAGCACAGGGTCGTATACACTAGAGCTACAACGGGCTAAGGCGCGACGCGCGGCGATCACAGGTTGATTTGTTGGGAGACTCGCCGGACTTGCGCAACCAGCTGGGCATTGGATTTTTGTTTCTCCGTATTTCTGTGTAGTATGTATTACGATTTGATCCGATTTGGTGTAAGTACAATAGAACTAATTATAAATCAACACATCATATAATAATATACACTAATATGTGTTGTCATCATTTATAGAGGTTGAACATGATTAATACCCAAATCGGTCAATTGGTTCAGGTTCAAAGGCCAAGGAAAGGCCACCAGACCTCTTCCACCGTTGACTACTTCAATCCATGAAGGTTGCGACACCCGGCGTTTATGATTGCACTGTATGCAGGTATATGCTATCTCTGGCTCTGCCCCATCAGAACCAGAGAATGTCTCTGTATCCTGGTAAAATTGGAGATATTGCATGGATGTGTGGCAAAAGTGGCAATGCCAAAAATCAATGCCCCAAGGGCGTTCGCAGGGGTCTGCAAGAGCTAATACCTTTGCATGCACCCGGCCCTTATGGGTGTTATTCGGCATAGACTCGGTCCAGATCAGTGCGACAGAGGTGGTTTGAAGCGCCATTTTGTCTTGACCAAAGGACTCGAGCAGAGACTGCCACACATCCATACGTGATATGTAGACATTGAACACAAACTTGCTCAACGCGAGCGAGACCTGTTTCTCCATGGTTGTACGACCAGAGAATGCAAACACAAAGTTGAAAACAGATCTGTGTACTTGATCAGCAAGGGTATTGTCAGCTTACTATGAAAGTACTTGCTCCTCAACAAGGTGGCGGAGTATTGCAAAACTGTGTTGGTTGCGAACACAGGGCCCACAGCTAAGCAAGACTAAACCGCGAGTTAGTTTGTATCCCTTTGTTATTAAGGTGTGTGTCATTGCAAGGACCTCCAAGAACTCCACACCAAAGTGATATAAGATAATCTATGCCGCATGTTACAAAATATGCATTTGGATATGTTAATCAAACGCACTTACATCGGTGACGTATTGGGTGTCAGGTTTAGCAGGAGTTCCTGCGGCAAGCAAGCGCCCTGTGTCCCCATAGCTATGGGCGTTGATGAAAAGCATCATGTTGCTGAACCCATTGCGATCACGGATCCACTTGAGGCTGGGTCTCACAAGTTGTTGGTGACCCTGTTTTTTCTTCTTCAGTTTCCCGACAAATATGGAGAGCTGTTGACAGTTAGGAAGGCTAAGAACTCCTAATGTTGGTTGATTAAAAGTGGGAGCATACATTTTCAGGGCTCAGGGAAAAACTTTCAATGAGCATGAGGAGAGATAAATCTTGCGCATATTCGCCGTCATGGCCCCAAGTAAGGAAACCCGCCCAGAGGGGACATTCTGCTCCCTTCATAAGTCTCCTATCGCACGGCTTTGTCCTCATTATGTACTGCACATAGATGAACTCCAGTTAAAATTGCAGTCCATGCAAAGGTTAGGTACCGACTAACCGGAAGGGGTAGAAATTTCAATTGCACGCATCTAGGGCAGAAGAAGGCTTCTTTGCCAACCCTTACGTTAAAGATGCAGCCGAACTGATTATCGGCCTTGACACAAACAGCGGTAGAGCACCCATTCTCGGTGCATGTCCATACGTTATTGGTACCTTCGCAGATACTGCAAGAGGGGTTACCAGAACTGGCCGGAGCTGGAAGAGTAGTTATACGAGGTTTTGGAGTGCACAATAACGCCAATGCTCACCGCTTAATGCTGACTCTTGGTAGGTGGCTATTTCAAGTACAGGGTCCACCATTGAAGTACACCACGTGGGAAATGAAGGTTCAGGACACAAGCCCTTTGCAGCAGGCTTTGTCTTTCTGCGCTTTGGTAGAGGCTGTGAACGAATGTGAGAGTCACCGAATGCTTGTGAGGCAGTTCGTGAGCGACCATGTGTTTGTGAGCCATTGTTTTTGCATGTTCTGGGAGGTTGTGAACGGGTCTGGGGAGCACCGGGAGGTTTGGAATGGTTCTGGGAGCTACCAGGCGTTGTGCAGCTGGCTTGGGAGTCACCAAGTGAATGAGAGTGGGTATGAGAGGTACCGGACGTTCTCGAGGCTTGGGAGCTCAAGAGTGTCTGGGGGCGGGGTTGGGAAGACTCGAACGTCTTGCGAAAAAGGTCTGCCATAGCCCTATGTGGCCAGAAAGAAGGAGCAAAGAACAGCAGAAAAAGATCAACCATCGAAGGTCACAATATGGTCACCCGCTTTTCCACGGACATTAGTCATCCATATCAATTTACAGTCGGTTGCGTATCAATAGACCCGGACGCGCTTACTATATACACGGCTGTTGGTCGTCAGACCTATAAGCGAGGTCAAGTCAAAATTGCCGTGTCGGCCTCAGTTCTTTCCGCATTAGACATCGATTCAATCCTGTCTCCACACCGAAGCATCTAGGCCGCCTCTACCCGCAAATCTGTGGCAACGCAACATCATCCGCTCCACCTTGTTTCGACACTGGTCCTAGGTCGGCTCGACCCACTCTCCTACCCAGATGGATTGGTCGTGTTGAATCGCACTGATATTAATATCAATTACAAAAGTTTTATTCGCCGCATTGATTTGAGCGACTTACACGACCGACCCTCTGGCAAAACTTGTAGGTGGCCGATCTCGGCTTGGTTTGCCGAGCGCCGTTCTCCCACGGCACCAGTGCTCCGTCACACTGCAGACAAACGGCGATTTTACCAGGGACGAAACCGAGAGAAAGAGGCGGCGAGATGAAAGCCTTTTTTCCCGAGTTTTAGAACCCCCTTTTGCACAGGAAAAGGTATCCTTTTAGCCGACATTTGCGTCAATTTTGTGCTGGTAAAAATGGATGAGTTACCGAATTTGGACTCAACTTTCCCGATTTGGACGCATTTCTATCCAATCTCCGCCCAGAAATGGAAAGTCCGAGACAAAAGTTTAACTTTTCAGTAACTTTTCGCACAGCAAAAGATGGGTGAAAGAGGCTTTCATCTGTCCGCCTTCTTCAATCACTTTTTGTAACAGAAAAGTCGCAGTTTGTCTGCAGTGTCAGGCGAGCATGCAACTGTGAAAATATCAGTGAAGCTTGAGTGAAACAATATTAATGTATTCTCAGTCAATGGCTGTGATTTGTGTTTGATTCCACCTACATATCCGGCACGTCCAAGGGTTTATGACAATGTCTTCCAAATTATAACACTTGAGAGATGCCGACTCTTATTGGGCTGAAAGCCCCTATTTTCTATGTTTAAGATTTCAACACTTGTACAGCATAATTGTCTAAGCATTATTAGGCATAAACTCAATGCAGATGCATGTATTCGAAATATATTGTCTTAAGGGAGTTTGAACAAAGGAAGGAGGTATGCTCATGCCCTGAATGAATACATGCTGAAGCATCAAGTATATGGGGGTTTTCGAGTCATGTTTACCCAAACCCTTGACTTTAGCACCTGATATTTAGGAATGGAGCGTTTTTCACACTATTTATCGTAATTGATAAGTCTTTGAATATCTACAGATGGGGGTGTATACGATGTGGGCGAAGGTATGGGCTTGAGTGTGTCGAGTGAGCAAGCATTGGTGCCGTGGGAGAACGGCGCTCGGCAAACCAAGCCGAGATCGGCCACCTACAAGTTTTGCCAGAGGGTCGGTCGTGTAAGTCGCTCAAATCAATGCGGCGAATAAAACTTTTGTAATTGATATTAATATCAGTGCGATTCAACACGACCAATCCATCTGGGTAGGAGAGTGGGTCGAGCCGACCTAGGACCAGTGTCGAAACAAGGTGGAGCGGATGATGTTGCGTTGCCACAGATTTGCGGGTAGAGGCGGCCTAGATGCTTCGGTGTGGAGACAGGATTGAATCGATGTCTAATGCGGAAAGAACTGAGGCCGACACGGCAATTTTGACTTGACCTCGCTTATAGGTCTGACGACCAACAGCCGTGTACTCACGTACATTCACTCGGCATAGGACTTGTCGCGTCGCGTAGACCTACAATCACACAGCATCCCTATGGCGAGTACACAAAATTTAGGATAGAATATACTGTAAGAGGACGACCTTAAGTTCGTCACGCGTCACGACGGACCTGGCGAACTGAACGTATGGTACATTTGTCAATAGTCACGAAGTGTTTTGAACTAGAGTACGTGACATAAGAAATAGACCGCTTTTGAGATAGCCGCGAGCGATCACAAGTGCAAGATGTTGCATACCACATGGACAACGACGTGCACATGCCGAAGGCAAAAAACATAGCCTGATTCTGAAATAAAAAAACAGCAGAGTGAATCCAGTGTGCCCTGAATGAGAACACCGATGAGGGGCAAAGTTACTGAGCCATGCAATGCCTATGGGCATGATTCACTGTTTGAGTGCCATCCGCAGGGACGAGCAAGGGGCGAAAGCTCCGAAACAACTTCGAGGTACGAGATCAACGTTTCAACGCCGGCTGACACACCGAGCATGCCCGAAGGCTAAATTAGACTCGTCGACGCCATGACAAAGTCTAAATATGGTGTTCCTGACAGCATCTCCTGGAGACCGTCACTACAGACAAAGCGGGATTTCTAGCACCCGAAAATGACCGGGACCAGATGCCATATTGGTTTCGTTCTCGGGGACATTTCCCAATCGCGGAACAGTTAACATTTTCTGCTCACGTGGTTTTGAGTCGGCGCTACAAACATATCTATATACGGTAAGTATTAATGGGTTTTTTTGGGCGGAGCCTGAACAGCGTCCAGAAAAGGTTAACTAACCCTGACATTTTCCGCGCTTGGGAAGATCCCCGGGAATATGAAACCAATATGGCATCTTTTCTAGGTCATTTTCCGGACCCAGAAACTCGCGTTTGTCTGTGGTGCGTGCTACGTCACGCCGACAAGGATAGAACAGCTTAGTTCAATGTCACGCGTTCGCTGGAGGTTTGAACTTTCGTTTCATCGGAACTTATCTTCGTCACACGTCACGCAGATTTCCTTTGAACCTAAGGTCATCCTCTTACAGTAGTCTATCATGTGCCTCAAGTACTCAGCCTCTTGTATCCTTGTTTTCAGCACAAGTGAAGTAGGGAAGCGATGCTCGCATGTCGCGTACAACAGGTCATGTGGCAATGTCAATTATTCCTTTACTCGTATCTTCAATATTTCTGCCCGCTTTTGTTTGGTTTTTTGTTCGTGCTTTTGATCAGATCCCCGGCAGCTTGGTCATACAAAGGGTCGAGGAGAGAGAGAGAGAGAATCTATATTTGTATCCCGCGGAAAACGCGTTTAAGGTACGTTAAGGGGCGGCTAGGTACTGCTTAGTTGTAATCTGACAAAGGACGATCGCGAGTATAGCTGAGAAGTCTATAAGAGCGCGAACTCACCGGGCAGTTAGTGTTGAAGGTTGAGTTAGTAGCTTGGTGGCTGGTAGGCTGACGATGGTAGTCGTTCGGTGGAAAGAGAAGACTTAGATGATATTCATGGTAGCGACTGTATATATATGACAGGAGCGTGTGAAGTCACTACCGTATGCGTAAAGCTATATAGTCCGAGTCCCACGGTAATGTAGGACGGCTACGTAAGCTACATGACGTGACTCATGCGATGAACGCGGAGTCACACGGATGCATGGAAGGCGCTAAAAGTACCCATAGGATGCCTAGCGCCGTGTAGACGTGTGCAGCGGTATTTACTTGTAGACCTTACGGAGAAGGAATACCGCGTAGTGCAAGGGCTTCTGGATGAACCAATAAAGCCGCAAAGGGTCGAATACTAGACGTAATTCTGACATAATCGAGTCGGGGTAATAGTGTGGTGCGTGGTAGATATGTAGTGCTCGTCTGCTGTAGCGTAATATGGTTAAGGGTACCAATGAGACTGTATGAGTATGCGGTGAGGCTGTATAGTAGCGGACTATATGGCGATTAATCTATAAACATGCACGGTGTTCATGCGTTGACAATAAGGAAACAGATAGGGGAAAAGTGTGGGGGTGCGTCTATTGGGAGGCGCGGGGGTCGTCGAGTTCGTCGTTTGGGACTGATGCTGTCGCCTTCTTGAAGGCGTCGGTGTCCCGGAGGAAGAGCGCCAGGGCCTGGAGGCCCTTCTTCGTGCCGAGGACGTCTGTGAGGGAGAGCTCGACGTTTGGTTTTTGGAGGTGTCGGCGCGCGTTTTCATATTGTGGGCATTCGCATATGATGTGTTGGCGGGACTGTCGGCGTGCGCCGCATGGGCATGCCATCCGTTCTGAGGGGACGAAGTCCGCATAGTATTCGCCTGCGAAGCAGTGGCCAGTGCGGCATTGGAGCATCCGGCCGTAGATGCTGCGTTCGGTGTCCGTGAAGTGTTCACGGGCTCTGAATGACGGGGGGAAGCGCTTCGCGATTTTGAACCGGCCTTCGTCGTTGTTCAGGCGGTCTTTCCACTGGCTTGTCCATGTTGCGAGGGCGGTATCGCGTGTGAGGCGTTTGATGGCGGCGAAGGTCGGGGTGGACGAGTCGTTGCGCGTTGTGGCCTGTTTCGCTAGCGTGTCAGCTCGTTCGTTGCCCGCGATCCCTTTGTGACCGGGGGTCACGAAGGGTCGAGGAGCCGAAGAAGTTCCCAGGGGTCCGGGCTCCGGGAGCCAAAAATGTGGCAAGGGCCGGATCAGATCCGGCCCATCGGCGCAATTCGGTCCTTGAAATAGGTCGTGGATCGAATATGACCGAGTCGACCAACTTGGTCGGTCCCTTCGTATGACTTACATATAAGTTACACGGCCAGAGCTACAATCTAATTTTGAAGTAAACGGGTGTTCGGGCTTAGAATAAGATTGATATCGGACTGTGAATCGTAAGAAATGCATGGACGCCAAAATAAACGGGCCCAATTGGCTCCGAATTGGATTCGCGTTGAATGTCACGCTCATTGATGCGTCCATTCAACTTAGAGCTGGAATCACATTCAATGCAGAAGCAAAGCAGCGATGAACAAGCTCCAAAAGCTGGCAAAGGTTTGTTTATTGTTCTCACGTCTTTTTCGCCTCCGTCTCTCACCCCCCTTGTCTCTCGCCCCACTTGTCTCCTAGCCCTTCGTTTGTGGTGCGTTCAGCGCCCCTCGCTGCCATCCTATGTCTGCAAATAACGGGCTGGACGAGCACACAGACTAGAAAGGTGAGCATCTATGGTGGAACACATATGCATGCCATCAAGGCTCACCTTTGTGATGTGTCGACACTGCGAAGACAGAGATACCTGAAACTCATTTACCTAAATCACACCCGTACGTTAGTGGTTTTCATGTAATATTCATGTCTTTGGTGTATAGTAATAATGTAGGTGTTTCATGAGAGTAATGGACTTTGCCGAGATCCAACTATGGACGTTTTCGGATGACTCAATGTACTTTCTCATGGTCAAAAGAACATTGTTTTTAAGGCGAAGAGGTGGGCCTGAACGCGTAGCCAATAGTTTTAATGGCAGAACATAATGATTATCACGCAATAAGGGACGTAAAAATCACTGCAATCGCGATGGCATTCATGTATTCCTACACAGCGAGTGGACTGGTCTACTCGATACACAGATCTACGCGACCCCCTGAACCGCCCACCGCCTGAAGATTCTTCGGCGGAGCCGGTGCAGGGTTGCTGCCGCCGCCATCATCCGAGTTGTCGGTAGTGTTGCCGTCGAGGCGTGCGGACACAACCGTTCTCAGGCGCCGCGGCGGGAGCTGCCAATCGAGACTCCTC